GCAGTTTCATCATTTGAAATCTAGGGATAAAATCAAGTATGGAAAGAGATATACTATTTATTCGCCAAAAGACGGTCAACCTTGTATGGATCACGATAGAGCCTCTGGTGAAGGTGTTGGATCACAAGAATATACGTTGATTAAAATGAAAATTCGATGTCCTCAAAAAATTACTAAGTAATACTTTTTTTCAGATTATATTAATATTATTTTACGATTTACTATTTTTAATATTATTTACAAAAAACACTAAGATTTTTTAATTCGTAAACTAAACAGTATAACTTTTATAGGAATTTTGACAATAAATCAGTTTACTTAGTAGCTGCAACTTTAAGACCAGAGACAATGTATGGTCAAACAAATTGTTGGGTTCATCCAGACATGAACTACATAGCGTATAGTTTAGCATGCAGGGATGTATATATTTCTACAGAACGTGCGGCTAAGAATATGTCCTATCAAGGTTTCTTTAAAGAAGAGGGAAAGATAGATGTTATACAAAAACTCACGGGCAAAGTAATATTTATTCAATGTGTGATTTTTCAAAATCTTTACATAAGAAATGTTTATAGGACTTACTGGGACTCGAATTGGAAGCACCTCTCACATCTAATAAGGTGATTTATGCATTGCCTATGTTGACGATAAAAGAAGATAAGGGCACTGGTATCGTAACTTCCGTTCCTAGTGATTCCCCAGATGATTACGCTGCATTAGTGGATCTAAAAAAGAAACAACCACTTAGAGAGAAATATGGAATTGCCAACAAGATGGTGTTGCCATATAATCCAGTAAGCAAATGATATATAATGTAAATTACTTAACTATAAAAGATTGGAAAAAATCATGATATCTTTCACATATCTTTACGTATCAGATTCCAATCATCGAAGTTCCAGAACTGGGCAATTTAGTAGCAGTAACATTATATGACCAGTTAAAGATTCAATCCCAAAATGATAAAGTTAAACTCACGGAAGCAAAAGAAATAGCATATTTGAAAGGATTTTATGACGGCATACTATTATTAGGTCCATATAAGGGCAAAAAGATACAAGATATTAAGAAATTAATTCAAAAAGAGATGATTGACAATGGCGAAGCAGTGATTTATTATGAACCTGAAAAAACTATTATTTCAAGATCAAATGATGAATGCGTTGTGGCTTTATGTAACCAATGGTATTTGGATTATGGAGAGGAAAATTGGAAGAAGGAGACGCTTGAGGCTTTAAAAAATCTCGATACCTTTCACGATGAAGTTAGAAAGAATTTCCTTGCTTGTTTTGACTGGTTACATGAGCACGCATGTTCCAGGACGTATGGACTTGGTAAATGAATTATCACGAAATAATTAGAATTATTTTTATAAATATCTTAATTTCAAATTTTTAGGCACCAAGTTACCATGGGACGAATATTGGCTGATAGAATCTCTGTCAGATTCTACTATTTACATGGCTTATTACACAATAGCGCATTTTTTGCAAGGCGGAACCTTTAAGGGAGACAAACTTAATGCATACGGAATAAAGTAAATAAGATTAAAGTTGATGTATATTGTATTTGTTTGTAATTAATATTTAATCGTTTTTGTTAGAGCTTCTCATATGACTTCGGAGGTGTGGGATTACATCTTTTTCAAAGATGCTAAACTGCCTGAGACAAATATTGAGAAAGCAGTTCTAGATCGTATGAGGCACGAATTTCAGTATTGGTATCCTGTAGACTTGAGGGTGTCAGGAAAAGATCTAATACAAAATCATCTTACATATTTCCTTTATAATCATACAGCAATATGGCCAAATCAGCCTGAATTATGGCCGCAAGGAATAAGAGCAAATGGCCATCTACTTCTCAATTCAGCGAAGGTAGTGCAAAATTATTCAAAATGTTTATATTATGTATAAAATTTTAATTGTTCAAATTACACAGATGTCTAAGTCAGAGGGCAACTTTTTAACACTTGCCGAAGCTGTAGAAAAATTCTCGGCTGATGGAATGCGTCTCTGTTTAGCTGATTCTGGTGATTCGATAGAGGATGCTAATTTCATTGAAAGTACAGCTGACGCAGGAATTCTGAGATTGTATAATTTTATAGAATGGATAAAAGATATACTAAATACGGATGCTTATTTCTGTCAAAATAATGTTTCACATGAATTGAAAAATTTTCATGACAACGTCTTTATAAGGTACTTCTATTTTTTCTTTATTTTTTAAAATTATTATAGAACTGAAATGATTTATTTTATGTATTTATTTGATGTAGCGAAATAAATTTAAAAATACAAGAAACTGGTGAAAATTATTCGAAATTACTTTATAAGGAAGCATTGAGGACAGGATTTTATGAGCTTCAAACAGTTAGAGATAAATATTTACAATTAAGTCCAGAGGTTAATCAGGATTTAATTAAGAAGTTCATAGAGATTCAAATAATTCTTCTATCTCCTATTTGCCCACATGTTTGTGAATATATATGGGGAGACTTACTGAAAAAAGTGAGTCTTAGGATTGAAGCACAAATATTTATAGATTATTAGATTATCTTGATAGAAATACAGTTTAAATAATATGGTTTATTATAGGATGGTAGTATATTAAATGCAAGATGGCCTGCTGTAGGAGATATAAGCGAAATTTTAATAAAATCGTCTCAATATCTCATGGATGCTGCTCATACATTTAGAATTCTTTTAAAAAATTACATGACACCGAAAAAATCTAAGACAAAGAACGATATTACCAACATAGAAAAACCTAGTCAAGGGATTATCTGGGTAGCTAAGACTTATCCTCCTTGGCAAAGTGTCATCCTTGAAACGATGAGAGAAATGTATTGCGTAAGTCGTAGTAACAATTTAATATGTTGTATAATTAACATTGCTTGTACATTAATATTTTTACTACTCTATAGAAAAATGGAAATAAATTACCAGACAATAAAGTTCTTTCCACAACGTTTGCCGGCAAAGCAGAGTTGAAAAAATATATGAAAAGGGTAATGCCATTCGTGCAGCTTGTTAAAGAGAAGATGGAAACTGTTGGTCTTAGTGCCCTGAATTTGACCCTTGATTTTGATGAATTCCATGTACTTGAGACCAACAAAGAGTATCTCAAAAATACATTAGGCGTAAGCATACACTACTATAATTTTGTACATTTAATGTTAAACAAGGACAGATGTTGAATTCGAGGCATCGGAGGCATCCAAGCGACATTTCCAAACGCAGCCTATGTATATATTAATGTATATCTACTATATTTTTTTATTTATCACCAGATTCATGATATTGTCATTAAATATACGGACGAAGCTACAGAAAAGACAAGAGAAGAATGTTGCCCAGGTGCTCCGTACATTAATTTTTTTGCAAAGCCCACAGTTCTCAAACCGATATATATTATTAATCCACAAAGTGGTAGCAATTTATTTGAACTGTCTATGAAAATTTCAACTGCGACAGTTGCAGATATCGTCTTCCACATAGTAAAAGAAAATACACATATAAAAGGTATATGAAAGTTTCTGAATAATTAAACTAATGTATAATACAGACTCTCTAATATATATTTTGTTCAGATCCTGCTTCAATCGTGTTATATCGATATAATGATCCGCACCTGGGACCCAGAATTAGACCAGTAGTAGGAAATATTTTAAAGGGAAAAAGTGAAATTCCACCGGATTCTGTATTTAATGTAAATGCAGAAACAGAAAGCATCGAAGTTAGCATTGCAGGTAGCACATATCCAGTTGGTGAACATTTAATATATATCGATAAAACTCTGAAAGAATAAACAATACGTTTTGATCCTAGCGATTTTATTATTATTGAGTAAGTATATAATTAATTATTTATGAAAAATTCAAAAAATATTAAAATATTTAGAATATATTTCATAAAATAGCAAATGTCGAAGTTTATTTAAAAAAAAAGGCTTTATCTTACATAATCTCGTTCACAATTTTTTTCGTAATATCTATATTGCACATGTCAGTATTTTCATTCAGGTTATCATTTTAAGTTATTTTCTTGACTATTCAATGTTTATATTTTAAAATTCTTAGATAATTAAGAATCGATAGGATCTCATCGTACTTTTAAGGCTCTTGAGTTACCATATTGAACTTACATCAGAAGCGAGAAATGACACGTTAATTTTAATTACGTGCCATTTATAATTAAAAACAATTTTGATAAAATAAAATGATGGGAAAGTTTTCAAAACAATTGTAGAAATGGACAAAAGCTATCCTTATCTCCCTTGATAGTAAATAATATTGTAAAAAGTGTGTGGATAAAAGGCATGTGAAGTGCTCTTATTCATGCGTAATTTATTTTCACAATGCGTAGTTTATTTTCACTTACATGTGCCTTTTATCACTTTATTCTTTGTAATTACTTATAATTACGCATAATTAATATCGGAATATACCACAAAATATTAATTCAATAGCGAAATAATATGTGTCCAAATAAATTCATAACGATGTTCGTACGATAAATATATTTGTAATAATATCAGTTGATAAACTATTTTTTACGTGAAAGGAATTAAATATGTTGATAAAGCAAAGCTGAAATATCAAATATCTATTTTACCCTAATATACTTATTATTGGTATATACGTTATACATACACAACAACAAAATTAAAATCGAAAAGTGTCCTATACGGTCAATGCTGAATCTTGATGCCTAATAATGTTTGTTAATAATATTGCTTAATAATGATACTTTTATGTGAATTTTTAAATCATTTCACAATTTTACAAATTGTCAATTACTGTCGGACTTGAAACGCATTCTTAGAAGCTGGAATTAAAAAAAAGAAAGCTTAAAATTGTTTGAAAACTTAAATGTATAATAAAAAATAAGTCAATATTTGTAAACGTTAGATATGTATAATATTCGACTTATATTTGTTTTCATTTTCTATATACATAACAAAAAATTATAAAAATCTCGAAAATATGATACAGTTTGTCATACTGAAAAATATGATGTTGAAAAATATAATGCTTTATATATTATCATAAAAGTTGTGTGCGATAGCATTCTCGATATATAATCATTAAATTAATGTTTAAATCGCTGATCTACTTTAGCTCTTATAAGTTTTACATCTGTAGCACATGTCCTGCAACATCCACCAATGTAGTGAACGCCAAGGTTCAGCCATTCATCAATGAACTCGTGCAAAGTGGGAGCATCTCCTTCCTTCTTCCACCCTTCGGATTCCGTATATTTTTCTCCGCTGTTAGGATATACTACCAATGGTATAAAATCATCTGACTTGTCTCTATTGATGCCTTGGAATAGAGAGGTAACATATTTTGGAGCGATACAATTAGTGCCAATAGCTAATATTTGTCCGGGTGCCGCGTTTTTGTAACACCTCACAGCAGTTTCTTGAAAGTTGCTGCCGTCTGCCAAGCTCTTTCCATCTTTACAAGAGAAGGACAGCCATGCACGCGCATCCGGAAATTCCTTGAGTAGATCGATTATAGCTTCTGCCTCGCGAGCGCAAGGTATCGTTTCCATTGCTAATATATCCACACCCTTCTCTAGCAATGTTTGTACGCGAGGTCTATGCCAATCCATTAAAAATTCTCGCGATACACTTGTACAATACGAACCAGTATATTCTGAACCATCGTGCAAAGAAGCGCCGTAAGGCCCACAAGATCCAGCAATCAATGGTTTTTGGTTCGTCACGTTTTTATTAGTCTCTATTTCTTTAGTATAAATCTTTACAGCTTCTTTAGCGTAATCGACGGCTTTACGAATGATCTCTAGACTCTCTTCCTTGGTGATGCCTAGATATTTTACAAAACCGTCAATCGTCGCTTGATACGTGACTGTTCGTATGATATCCGATCCAGCACGCAAGAAATCCAAGTGAGTGGCCAAGATAGCCTCCGGTTTCGTTACGAGGTAACGTGCGGCCCATAGAGGATCACCATCGGTCTCTCCACCTGCGTTGGTGAACAGTTGTGTGGCCCCACCTTCTAGCACTTTTATCTCCGACATAATCTTTTCTTCTTTTCTAATTTTACAAATTTAATATTTTATATATTAAGAGATAATATCGTATGATTACACGAAAATTTGACTTGGCGATAAATACAAGTGTACCGTAAATCTACAAATGTGTATTGTGTGCTGTGCTTCACAATAATATAAGCAGCTGATTCAATGCGCGGGTTTTATATGAGTTGAAACAAAATGTCTGGCATGACGAGGCGTTTTCGATGTAACAGTAGATGATGCAACTAATAGATTATTCAACGCTCCTTTTCATCTGAATTTCTTTCTGTAACTTTTTTCTATTGAGAAAAAATGAAAGAAAGAGGAAAGATAAACAATATACGATATTGACTAATGAAATTATAAATGTTCTAGTAAATATTCATTCATTTCTGTAATTTTCACGTTTTAAAATACACAATTGACTTTCGTAGTCTCCGTGACGAATATATGACCAGCCTCTCGGTTGCCTGGAAAGGATATCTAATCATTACTTGTGATAATTTTTAACGCATATGAAACATAAAGTTAAAAATGTATATTTGTATGTGTACTTGTATGTGTACATATAATTGTATGTAAGTGTCCGCAATGTGCTGATGATGAACTTGGGTCCGTGAGTTTATTAAAAATAAATTTTAAAAAATTATAAATATCAATTCTCTCTTGCGGGAGGTCATACGTTTTACTTATCGTGCGTTGATGTAATAAAATTGTATTCTATTAACAAGTATCATCCGTTTCATTAGATATCATTTCACAACAAGTATATAGAGTATTATATAGCAGTCGCTCAGTGAACGTTTGCGACTCGAAAGTAGCTATGCGATCTATAGATTGATATATGTATATTGGATGCAAGCGCTCTCTAAGCCGCTTATAGTAAAACGGTCACCATATTAATTTGAAAACACAATTTCTTTCATGTTAGTTATTTGTTCTTATTTTTATTAAATTTAAATTGATTTCCGCGAAATTTAAACTTTACAATCTCTATGTAAAAAATGTATGTATACAATCTTTTTGAAAAAATATATATTAAATAATTATTATGCATACAATTCAAAAAACTATTTTCTGTAAAAGTTTTACTTTTATAAAATAACCTTCCCGACTCTGATTTTTCTAACTCTGAATTTAATTGGAATTTTGCCTGAAAAATGTAAAAGTAGTATTATTAAAATAAAATAAGTCTTTTTCTTGTCATTATACAAGCGATTTTATGTATTTTTACCATATCGTTTCCCTGGACAAGCATTTTATAATCACGACGTTTCTTGATTTGTTCATCTACCGTGATATTGGTATACATCATAGCAAATTGTTTACAAAAAATCGTTTAAAAGCGATGTTTAAATAAAGATAAGCATAGTGGTACCTGCAGTGACAGTGTGATAATATTACCACCTCGATCTCGGGAAGGTAATATTTTTCGCAATAAGTTCTTTACAGGTTTTAAGATGCTTCTAATTAAATTTAGGAGGATTATTAATATTTAATTTAGATTGATTGTGTTGAAAGTCTGAAAGTAATCATATTTCTGAGATAAATTTATTTAAGGAATGCATTTGTATGTATTAGTTTAACATCTAACTTTGACCGAAAGTGCCACTTCTCTCGTACTCAGGTAAAAAAAAAAATTGATTAGATTCCCGAGAAAATATCAAATAAAGGATTGTGCTAATAAGAATCAGCGCTGTACACGATATACAATTTTTGTAGAAAAAAAATCATAAATAATGAGGGATATATTAGGGACATATCTTTGAGAAAATTTATTTTACAATTAGAAAACTTAAAAAAATTGAAAATTTACTGTGGAAAAAACTTAAAAAATATGAAAGGTAAATTTTAAATTTTTGTTCAAAATATATATATCGTCTTAAAACTTATTTAAAAATTACTTAAAACTCATTATAAGAAAAATTAAACGAAATTTAAAAAATTAAAAAATTTTTTTTGTGAAGAATAAATATGAACAATTTTAAAGTTCATTTTTTAAGAAGGTTATAAGGCAAATGTAATATGTTAAGAATTACTTGAAAAAATTACAGATTATTCTAAATTGCACTTAAAAGTAATATAAAAAAATTAGAGGCAGTTGACTATCTGGATCAAAATTTATTTCGATAAAAAGTAATATTTTTAAAATTTGTACTTTAATAGAAATATATGAAAATGTATTATAAAATAATGATAAAAATCTCAATTTTTTTATGTAAGTACTTTATGAATTCAAAAATATTTATGTAAAGTTACATTGAGATGTAAGCATTAATTGTTCAGTAAATAAACAAAATATTTATTTGTTATATAATAAATTAATTAGGGAATCTCAATGAAACTTTGCATGAGTCATTTTTAATACTTAAAATATTTATATAAAAAAATTAGATTTTTGTTATTATATTTTTAAAATTTTGGTTTATAACAATAAAACTAATATCAAATAAAATTAAAAATGTGTTGTTCAATAAAAACAGAATGTTACACAACTTTTACATGTATGTAATTTGTTTAAAGTGTAAATATTAATATATGTGTTTTATCAACCCTTACAATTTCGTTAAAGAGATTCGATATTTAAAGTTTTTCTTTAAAATAATAATTGCAAAATCATGAATTTGTTTAAATTTCAAAGCAATCCTTTATTTAAAAAAAAATTCGAAAAATTATTTTATAAAAACACGAATGAAAAATCTCATAACACTGGACCTTTTATCCCATCCTGTATGGATCTTACTTATGAGAAAATGTAATACCGCCGCGTCCATCTGGCGATATCGCGTACTGTTCCCAAGTGAATGTTTAGCCAACTTAGCTTTACTTTAAAACTTTAAAGTACTTTGAAAAATCCAGATGCAATAAAAATAAAAACTCACATCAGTTTTTCTGAACTTATTTTAAAGTTAACTTTGAAATACTTTAAAGTTCTTAGGTTACTTTAGATCAATCTTTTACACATTTTTAATTAACTCAAAATTTTTAAGTAAACTTTTAATTACATTTACGAATATTAACTTTATTTAAAATAAATTTTTTTTAAGGGATAAAACATGCTAATTTACGTTAATTTTATCAGATAACGCAAATCAAAAGAATACTTAAGAGGTTTTGATTTCTATAGAATACTTAAGAGGTCTACATCCATTCATAAGGCAGTCAATCATCTTTCATTGGAGAATCTCAAATTAGTTAAAAAAATGAATGGAACAAAGTGTATGCTGATACAGTTTGGAATGAGTGATCATTTTGCCTGAGAACATTATGAAATTTATTGCCAATTGTTTTATGATCATTAATGTGTCACGTTACATATTTTGGAACACACACACACACACTTGATGCCAAAATCAATAATATTAATAATAAATAATATTTTAGCAATAAAACTGAATTAATTACTATGTTTCTAGTTTTAACACCAGTATATATGTATAATTATGTATAATTATGTGTAAGTATATATAATTATATATAATTATGGACTTGTTATATAACTGTTTATCTAGCTATAATTATATATGAAACATTTTTTATCGGGCTGTTAGTCGGTGTATGTACTGTTATATTTATCTTAAAGTTATTGTTTATTTTATTATGCAATATTTTCATATAAAAGTATTTTATTAAGTTTATATTGAACCAAAAATAATAAAAATATGATGCTTATTAGCATAAAAAAAATGAATTGTTAAATTGCTTGTTAATTTAATAAGTAGTTGATATTATACTATTCTCTCTCTCTGGTTTTGCCTATGAGAGCGTTTTAAGACCGAAAAAGATTTCGGCGTGCAATTTACAGAATCAGATATGTACATAAATTCACACAGAAATATTTAAAAAAGCATTAAGATCCTTTTTAAACAATATAACCATAATATAAAACGTGTGTTATGTTACAGTTATATTGCTGAGTGGAAAATTACAACGAATCGCAACGTTACATGTAACTTGTGTTCAATGGATAGGCACTGGTGATCCAAAATGACACTCAAATTGAGTGTTAACTCTTAAATAAACCTCCAACTTAAGGGTTATCACTCAACTTGGGTGTTATTTTGGACCTTTATTATTTAATTGAATACACATTTTTATAAGGGTATTGCAGCAACATTTTACAACATTTTTGTTATCCTGTAATGAAATATTTTTGCAATGTTTCTACAATCCTTCTGTACTTACTGTATAGGTTTAGCCACCCCCACTCGCTTAAACATCGTATGACTAACATCGCGGAATGTACAATCTTCAAAGAGATAGTACTTGTTGTCTTTGTGTACGGGTAAGTGCGCGCAGGAGGTTTTAGCGGGTGTTCGGCACCAATGATTGTTCATTGTTAAACTCATAATATCAAATTATACCCAATTTGAGTCATTTTTAATCATTTTTATAGGTCGTTATTGCTCCTACTCAATATGTCGTTAATTCGTCTTAAGCAATAGAATTAAATAGTCTAATTCAAAAAAACGTATTACATTTGACTCAAATTTAATTTATTATTTACTAAATGTATATATTTTAATATGGATGTTGTTCGCTTTGAAACTAATCACAGAAATGATTGATTTTGACACACATAAAAGTTAAAGATAATAAAATGTTATTTAACTCAAAGAATTATCTCAAACAGTTATCATTACTTTGTTCTTTTGATATCTAATAATGGTGAAAGTGGCAATTCATTAATTTATTCATCTTTAATCGTTTGTGTGTGTTTTACAAAAAAGTACCGTAATAATAGCTTGTGTCTCGCGCACGTGAAGATGGATTTCACAATGTTTAAAAATGTATGTGTTACATTTAAAAACAATACCAAATGTATAAAAACATAAATTGTTCTATTATTATATCTAAATATCTGTGTAAAATTTATGCACAATTCGCTTATCTAAAAGTTATTTAATTTTTTTAATTGGTTGATAACAGTGATATATTAGCTTTGGTTTGACTGATATTTTTAGCTAATATTGTATAGCCAAAGTATTTTTTAACTTAACAGCAAAACACCTATAATCGTGATGGATGTCGGCTTGAGCGCTCTGTTTCAAAATAATAAAACTCGCACCATGACGCTTCGCTTGCTTAGCGCCGAGATTTTACTGTGTCTTCTGATACGTACATACAATCGAGCAAGGAGATATGTGCATAGAAAATCTCTCATTCTTGAATCGCGATGAAAATGATCGAGGTTCATAAACGATGCCTTCGTAAAATCCTTTTCTTAAATGCGAGTTCACAAGATACGCAAAGAAAA